ATTGGGGTAAATTGTTGTCAATGTCATGAGACAAAGTGTATGTGAACTGCTGTATGGAAAGTGAATTTGCTCTGTAAACTTTCACCCAAATCACAATTAAAAAAAAAAATGGATGGCCCAAGGGAAAAACAAACACAGAACTGAAATCTCTACTGTTGTTCTTGTTATGTGCTGTCGAGTTGGACCTGGCTCTTAGTGACCCCTCGGGTTTCCGAGGCAGTATCACTATGGAAGTAGATTGCCCCATCTTCCCTCTGAGAAGTGGCTGGTAGGTTTGAACTGTCAGCCTTTTGGTTAGCAGTCAAGTGCCTTAGGCACTAAGCTACCAGAAGTCCCGAAATCTCTACTACTAAAAAAAATAGAGAGAGAGAGAAAAGAAAAGAAAGTTGTGAAAATATTTTCTGGGAAAGGAAATGTGTGTTTGTGGAAGACTTTAATAGTCAGAAGCAGTTTTTAAAAAGAAGAACTTCATAGTCACTGAAATTCAATGAAAAGTCTCATGTAGATTAAAAAATACTTTTAATCTTGAAATTTCTTTTAGGAATTTTTGAAAACAATTTCTGGTAAGTTAAAAAACTAAAATATACATTTCTACTAAATATAAAACAAAGACTCCTCTTAAAGGGCCATTGTATCCAAATTTCTCTTTGGAATAGTCAGCATTAAGAAAAACCTCTGAAACTGCTGGCCCTGAGATTCTATTTAAACCTTAAACCAAAAATATCCTCTTTTAAACATACAAACTATTAGAAACATATCACATGAATTAGAAAAGCTACATAAAGCTACTCAATATCACACCACCACTACACGTGTATTCACCAGTTTCAAAGACAATATATGGTCACTATTAATGCACAAAGTTAGCTATCAGGGTAAAAGATAAAGAGATGGAGGGGAGAGAGATGAGTCAAAGACAACTAACATTATCTATCTAAACAGAGATGAAATGCTATAATCTTAAAAACAGTCATGTCTTTTGAGCATTTCTCCTAAAAAATGAAGGCACTTAAGATGGTACATTTTATATTGTGCGTAAACTATTTTAATACATGACAAGTAGTTAACAGATTATTCCTAATTTTTTTAATGTATTATTTATTTTCATTGAAATGGAAAGTGTGATGGAAAGAAATAAAAGCAACAGGATTTTAAAGCCCCCAGGCTCCGGATGAAGAATTTGAGACCCCCAGATGTTAAGCAACTGATCAAGGTCATATCACAGCTATCAACAGAGCTGGGAGCCACAATGATTTAACTGGCAGTCACAACAGCTTCACTGGGTTCATCCAGAAGAAAGTTACTTGCCAGGTTGCCAAATATTCTTGTGTGATACTAATGTGACTGGGAAGCTAGCTAGAAATTGTAAGGTTCAAGTATTTCAGGATGGTCTAAGAGACAGACTGCACATAATCATACTTTGGTTTTGATCAATAGCTTAATTTATCTGGCTGCAACGTAAAGCAGCTATCTAGATATTAAACATCAGCATCAATTTAGGAGTTGAGAAAAAGTGTACAAAGAGGTACTCCGAAGCTTAGTAAAAGATATATATCGAATATATATATTCTAGCTCACTGGTTCCCTAACTGGCTCTGCCTCTGATCCAACTGAAGAGCTTACTAGTACCTACGAGCGCACGTGCATACAACAACCTACAGGCCCCAATCTGAGACCTAATGAAAGTCAAATTCTCTAGGAATGGAGCCTGGCATCTAGATTTTTATACCAAGTTCCCAGGTGATTTTATTCTGGAGCCAGCCCAGATAAGACAAAACCTATACATATGGGACCACTCTTCCAGAAACTAAAACATGAAACATTTTGAAAATAATTTACTTCTAAGAGCTTTTAAAATTTTTCCAAGAAACTGTCAGTATGTAGTATACAGAATCTTAACCAGACGGGGAAAAAAATGTGAGCAAATTTCCTTAAGAAATAAAGAATCTTTATTGTTTGTTTTGGAAGCAATGTGTTGAACAAATGGACAGGCAAATATCTAAAGAGAAATACCATACAGCAACTAATGGTTTAAACAGTTGAGAAACAAAACATGAAAATATTTACATGAACCAGTTTCTTCATACAAATGCTAACACATGAAAGACACCCAATACTGAAGAGAATGTTACCTTCAAGGTGTAAACCCACTTGAACAATAAAAATACAACAGGTCCAAAGAACATGTGGCTATAGGAAATAATAGTGTAAATAGCAGAGTATATAAACTGGCCCATGTAAAATACAAAAATATTCAGTGAAGTCAGAGTTTCTATAAAACAATGGTTATTAGAGGTATTTTAATATGAATCAGGTATATAATCTAAGTGTAAAAAGTTCTAGAAACATCAATAGTATGAAGCCAGTGCCTCCCATTTATACTTCCAAATTAAAAAAAAAAAAGTTTCAAAGC